TGCAAAGGGAAAGTAAAAGGGCTGATGATGATGATGTTATATTACTAGGGTTGAACAGAAGATGGGTCACCAAAAATTTTTTCTTAAGCTTCTACTAGCTTTTGGTGGCATGTTGAGCCGTTGGCTGCAACTGTAGTTGTTAACACCTGCCAATGTGGTGTGTAGTGTAGAAACTCTCTATAGATTCACTTCTACCCATAGGCAAGGCTTCAGTGGCAGATTAAGATGCGAGGCGGGCCTCCAAATGGCTGCAGCCATATGTCAAAATCATAATAATTTAATAAAGTTAAAGTCCGGTTGGAAAATGTTATCCATCCAGGACTATTGCCATCCCGGGCCTCTAATGAGGTAAGTCCTCCACTACAAGACTTGCATCCAGCATGGGGATATGAATAAGCTAGTGGTGATGATGAAAATAAGATAGGTACCTCAGATATTTTGGAGAAATCAGATCTGAATCTTGTTATATCTAGATTGTCGTCGATACTCTTCACGTCAGGCAGTGAACATTTGAAATCATCTAAAAAAATGGTATATTATTAGTTTAACATCATATAAGTAAATAAAAGAGCAATACTCATAATTTATTTAAAACAGTTTAAAAGTTTAGTGAGGGCTAAATCTGACAGTATTCTAAAGCTTTATTCCATTGCCCTATTCCTTTCTATCAGCCTGATCAATCAGGTGAGAAAGACAATTGGTGTTAGATAACATGCTCCGCAAGAAAACATCTACTATCTATATTGCTGTAGTGAATGGTGGTTATGAATGTTAAAAAAGTGTAGGATGATGGAAAAAGCCTTTACCAAGCTGCTAGACATAGCTCTAACTCAACCTTTTTAGTGTTTTCAATATATAAAGGACAAATGCTTTGCCTTAGCAAAAAATATGCAATTTTTTCCCAAGGGCAAATAAGAAATCATTGTTGAGTGTAGTTCTCTATGCTTTTAATAAATTTCAGACTTCGTATAACTTTTAACAATTTTTTATGAATTTATACAATTATAATACATATTACGACTGGGTAGTAAAAAACGAGATTCTATTTAGTCCGTCAGTCAGATAACAGAAAAATATTAGATAAATATATTTTTTATTCAATATAACAACAAATAGCTTAAATAACAGATATCAAAGGGTGATGTTGAGTGACATTTTAACTAATACTAACTAACTAATGTATTGACAAAATTAAATTATTATTGTGAAAAAAAAAATACATGTTTAATATTTTTAAAAATCTACCTAACAGGCAGCCAAACAAAAAATAGTTGTCATCCCTATTGTAAAAGTACTTTTAAACAGGAGTAATATTTTTATATATTTATAAGAAACCAGCATTATTATTGTTGTTAAGGTTAACAAGGATGGGGTACAATTATTTCTTACATCTGTCCACATATATAGTGTGGAACAGTTTGAGCAAGGAAATTATGAAAGTACCATATCACAAATTGATTGATTACCTAATAAATAAATAGAGCATGGTTCAAATAGGGGACAGTGTTAGCCTTGCCAGGATATTTTAAAATTATGCATAAATTATGGACTTCCTCAGTAATAGAGATGTCTGTCAGCACTAATTCCATCCCAGGGGGGACAAATTAGCTTGAGAGTATAAAGACTTATGTTGTTATAATTTGAGCAGTCCATTATGTAACTAATAACTAAATGTTCATAGAGTTCATTTTTGTAATAAATAACATATGTTTAATAAAACGGCTGAATGATTTTGTTTTTGTGCAATGGTGTTTCATTTTAATAATCCTCATATATATTATAAGTCAATGCTTACCTTGTGAAAATACTTGGGAAGTTAAATTTTCTTCTGTTTTACACAAAATGATTGGTATTAAAGAATGTAATAATATTAAAATACGCATTTCGTAAGCTTTGGACTACGCGTTAATAAGCGTTAAATAAACGATTATCTTACAAAACACTTTGCGGAATATCACTTTACAACGATGTTTACACAAACTACATATGGCTTATGTTTACATTTAATTTGATTAAATCAAGTTTATTCAATTCTTTATTTCTTCCACAATGGTTCAATTGCGATTTTCACACAATTCCGCTAATTTCATGTGATAGCCACTCACTAACTTGCACTACACGATATGGATTCAAATTTGGAAACATTCAATTTAATTTGTATATTTTGCTTTCATTTTTTTTTTAAATTTTTATTATTCAACGAGTATAGACCAAAGCCGAGCGAGGTATAGACCAGCAGGCCTATTCGCTAACTCAACTGAAAACCGTAAAAAGTGAGCAACTAACTAAATACTGGTTGACTAAGAACACACACAATGTTTTTAATGTTTAAAGTATTTATATATATATATATATCACTATCATCATCCTCCTGCCCTTTATCCCACGTTACGTGGGGTCGGCACAACATGTTTTCTTCTTCCATTCTTCTCTGTCAGACGTCAGCTCCATATCCACACCTTTCTTATTCATATCCTTTTTCACACAGTCGATCCATCTTTTCTTCGGTCTGCCTCTACTCACATATCCATCCATATGCATACCCATCACTCTTTTCATAGCATGACTTTCGTCCCTTCTCATTCTAGTCGATTACTCCTCATTTTCTTCGTCACAGGTGCAACTTTCAGGCTTCCTCTTACGTACTCATTTCTAATCTTGTCCATTCGCGTCACTCCACACATCCATCTCAACATTCGCATCTCTGCTACATGTACTCGCCTTTCATCCGTCCCTTTTGTAGCCCGACATTCAGAACCATCCAGTACGACAGGTCTTACGATCGTTTTATAGATTTCCCCTTAAGTTTAAGGGGCATTCGTGGATCGCATATCGTTCCTGAGACCTCTCGCCATTTCATCCATCCCGCATTTATTCTATTCCTCACGTCACGGTCAATATCGCCATCGTTTTGTATTAATGACCCAAGGTACCTGAAGTCGGAGCAGAATGGTAAGGTTAAACCATTTAAGGCAATGTTTTGGAAACCGGAGGTTCCACCAAAATCGCATAACAGATGTTCGGTTATAGTTCTGCTGATTTTGAGACCGAACACCTCCAGTTTCTTTTGCCATTATCCCAACCTGATCTGGACCTCGAGTGCATCTTCTCCGACCAGTAGGATATCATCAGCAAAAAGCATGCACCAAGGTGCCTCCTCCTGCATGTCTGATGTCAGAGCATCCATTAGCAGAAGGAACAAGTAAGGGCTTAAAGCCGATCCTTGGTGCACCCCGACGCCTACATCAAACTGGTCGGTCAATCCGGCTTCCGACCGGACGCGAGTGTATGTTCTTTCATACATCGCTTTCACCAATCTTATATACTTACCTGGTATACCTTTCACGGTCAGAGCCCACCATAACACACTCCGAGGGACCCTGTCGTATGCCTTTTCAAGGTCAACGAACACCATGTGTAAGTTTCTATGTGCACGTCTGTATTTTTCGCACAGCTGGCGAAGTGCAAATATGGCAGTCCGTCGTACCTCGTCCAGGCATAAATCCGAACTGGTTTTGGGTCACCTCGCTCTCATCTCTCATTCTTCTTTCTATCACTTTCTCCCAAATCTTCATCGGGTGCGCTATGAGCTTAATTCCTCGATAGTTGTTACAGTCTTGTATAGCACCCTTTCTTTTGTCGATCAGGGATCACTTCTTCTTGTAGCAAGCTGATTGCAGCACTAACGTCAGGGACTTCCATCCATCGACTTTCAGAAACTTCCAAACTACCACTGGTATAGCATCTGGGCCTGGTGCCTTTCCAATCTTCATAGTTCGTACTGCCGCTTTCACTTCCTCCACACTCACCTCCTTAACCATTCCTTTATTCACTTGCACGTTTTCTAGCACTCCACTCCAATCATTCTCCTCATTCAGAAGTTTAGCAAAATATCCCTTCCGACGCTCTCTAATATACTTATCCTCAGTTAAAACTCTTCCTCCTTCATCTTTCACACACTTCACATGCCCAATATCCCTTGCATTCTTCTCTTTTTCTCTGGCTATCCTGTACAATGCTTTCTGACCCTGTGGTTTTTCTAGGAATGAGTACAGTTTATCCTGCACTTTTGCCCTTGTAACAGCAATAGCCTTCCTCGCGTTCTTCTTTGTTTTCTTGTATACATTCTTTTTCATTTCTTTCATACCCTCATCATCGCTTTCAATGTCCTTCCATTCCTTAAACGCATTCTTCTTTTCTTTTACACTCTTTTGTACTTCCTCGCTCCACCACCAAGTTTCTCTGTCTATTTTCCCTTTCCCTTTCGTTTCCCCAAACACTCTTCTACCTTCACCTCTGATACATTCTGACATTACATTCCAGCATTCGTTAACTGTCTTTCCTTCCATATCACTCATTTCAATCATCTTATCTATCACTCCCTTTCGAAATTCTTCTGTACGCTCTCTGTCCTCTAATAAACTCCATTTAATTTTTATCACTTGCATTTTGTGCTATCTATACTTTCTATTTGAAATGACTTCATTCGGATGTTCTTTAGACAAGGTTGCGGATGTCATTAGCAATATACGAGACTTATATAATATAATAGATTTAGATAATTTCTGTGTGCTGAAATCTTGTTTATTTTAGCCTCTAGACTCATAAGCCCACCCTTGTAACAAATTTATTTACTTGTTTTTATGTAAAATTTTGAGTACAATAAAGAGTATAATAATAATAAATCTTTTTTTTTTAATACAATATCTTCGATTATATTGAGATGTTCAAGATGCAAAGAAAGGACATTTAGTTCGTTATTATAAAAATATAAGTATTATTTATTTTTTTATAAAATAGAATTATATGTATATAATATAAGTTGAAATATTATTGTTAAATGGAAAAGGGTGTGGGAGGCACATCAAAATAATATGGTTTCTAAGTCACTATCGTTAACAAAAAAAAAAATCCTACAAATGATGTTTCGTTTGCCTCAATAAAATAATAACACTTGTTTGCTGGATGACATTTAGGACAATGACATATGGAATAACAGCGCACATCGCGCGGCCCGGTGTTATTGTGACGTCAACAGAGCACCAAAAAATATTTGAATCTCAAATATATAAACAAGAAAACACGTTTACTATGTTGGCTTTCAAAGCATTGCAAACTTTAGGTTCAGTAGTTCTTTTATTCTTTTCTTGTCGCTGTGACCAAATATATAACAATGTGTATAAATGGCCAAGCATCGGTATTTCAGTGCTCGTTCGAAATAAAGCTCACACGTTGCCCTATTTCTTGACTTGTTTACATAATTTAGATTATCCCAAGGATCGACTATATCTCTGGTTAGTGATTTTTATTTATACGATATAAAAAGGTATAAAAGTGAACCAAAAATTATTGATAATCTGGTTGACCTATGTTCCATTTGTTGTATTTAGGTTTATTATTTTATCTTTCCCTTTTTTCTAGGATATACAGTGATTTTAATGAAGACAATACTATAGAAATATTAGAAAAATGGGTTAAAAAACATGCTTTGGAGTATAATGGAATAGTCCTCACAACCAACAGCTCTAGTGGTGCTCTCCATTCAGATGAGAAGCAGTCTACACATTGGAGCCCTGAACATTTCAGGCATGTCATTAAATTAAGGGAAGAGGCTCTTGGCTTTGTGCGGAGATTATGGGCAGATTATATTTTCGTAAGTTATTTTGTGTATTTATTAAGTAATAAGTAACATGAACCTAGTTACTAATATTATGATTTCTAAATCTAACTATAAAAGGTGCATTACATTTGATGATGGTTATAATATAAAACTTAAAAATATAGAAAAGTATAACTAATGTTTTACTGATAAATGCTGTAGCTACATAATTTGTCATAAAAATCTTGTAGCATAAGTGTGTATGTTAAAGATGTATTACCATACATACATACGCATAAATGTAGATGTAAATGCTTCAGAAGCAAGAACTAATATATAAAAAAAAGAAAACATTATAATTTTATTGAATGTTTAATATATAAATTGTTCAAAAGAAAGGCTTGAGCGCACCACTAGTTGAAAATTACCTTTCCATTACTGACAATTTTCAGATGTTAGATGCAGATGTATTCCTGACAAACAACGAAACATTAAAAATACTAGTATCAAAGGAATTGCCGGTGGTTGCACCAATGCTAATATCTGACGGATTATATTCAAACTATTGGTAGATGATCTCTATTATATCAATGTAAAGCATGCTGAATGTTCACACAATGCTTGTACTGATTACCTTGCTAGAGCGAGCTTTTGATCTGAATGATAAAATATGTTAGACGGTTATAATATAAAATCAGTATTACTAGTAATAAAAAATAAATTTCTCATAACCAGAAAAGACTTTCTTATGACTGTTATATTACCTTTAAACCAGAGTATTTAATAATTAGAATAATAGAGTTTTACAATTTGATATTTGTCTAAATTAGATATCAACACTGGTAAGCAAACACGTAGTAACCTGCAAAACCAAAATTGTTCTTTAGAGCAGATTTTTTTATTTTTTTCTATGAATAATTTACTATAAATTTCTATAAAAGAAGATTTTTTTTTTGGAAAAATATAAAGATTTTTCTCTCTAAATATTTCTTTGGTTTTGCAGGTTACTACGTGTTTGCTTTTCAGCGTCGTCGCTTTTTAATCACAAAATCATAATTTTTTGGGTATTAGAATATAGCTAGAGTGAATTATTTATATAAAATCCAAAATAAAAATCATGATATATGATGCATTTATATATCATGATATTTATACTCTACGAATCGATTGGCGCCTTACATGCTATGCCATAAAAATATTGCTCTGAATACATTATTTGCTTAATAATTGTCTAATTGAATAAAGAACACTGCAGATTGACTGTCACTGACACCCTCCAATTTTTATCAGATATGCATGATATTCTAATGCATTACTATAAATAATGCATTAAGATATACAATAAAAATTAATATAAAGCAAAATCTAAATACCAAAAAGCTTTTGATTTGCTACTGGCTTTGAAGAAGATTATAATAATAATGTTATTCTAACAAAGGCTTTGTTTTAGGTGTGGGATGACAGATAACTACTACTACAAACGCACAGATGACTACAAGCCTATTAGGAACCGTGAGAAGTTGGGCTGTTTTGCTGTACCAATGGTGCATACTGCAGTTCTTATAAATCTTCAGAGGAAAAACTCAGATTTGCTAACTTATGAACCCAGTAAAATACGCGACTACAATGGGCCTGACGATGATATTATTGCATTTGCAATTAATGCAAAAAATAATGGTGAGAATATGCCTTGGTCTTATATGCTTACAGCAGAAATGTTATGTGAAATACAGATATAACAAATATTAGCACATTGATAGTGGTAGTGGTACGCCATACCACTCGATGGTTGCTATTGTAAGGTTTAAATTTCCTGAGGATGCTCTATAGAGTTGGTAATAAACGTGTAGAGTGGTAATTATTGCGAGTTTGGTTGCCGTTTGTATGAGAATGCATGGCAAGTCTTGCAAATTGACCAAGTGGGGAAGTTGGTAGATATTATAGTTAAGTTTATAATAGACCCGCATATTGCGCCTTATATTAAATACTTAATGTCACAAATTATAAAAGTTTTATTTTAATATTTGCGTAACACCACCAACTTCAATATATTAGGTCCTTACATATGAGTATGAAATTGGTGTTTGGTATGGGAGGAACAAAAAGTCAAATATTTTTTAATATAATATATTTATTTAATCAAAGTATAAACCATTGTTATCTATGCACTTTTGCCATCTCATGGGTAGATCATTGATCCCCTTACTAAAAAAACCATTCAGATGGAAATCAATAAAATCTTTGAAGGCGATTTGCACTGCCCCATTAGAGATGAATTTTTTTCCCATGCAAGAAGTTATCGAAATTTCGAAAAAATGGTAATCTGTTGCAGCAAGGTCCGGGGAGTATGGTGGATATCTTAGACATTCCATTTGTAAAGGATATTATAAAACTCAGTAAAGGATATTACACTGTAAATGAATATTTAAACTACCATACTGCTTGGTGTTAAATATGGCTCATTTTCCATGTATATTAAATTACATCGGTTAATGTTTATCGATGAGCTTCTTTGACTGCACATGTGATTCGATTGACGAAAATACTGTTTTTCTCTTATATTTTCTAATATTGTCATGGGAAGTGACTTCAAATTTTAATGAAGTCATTTTTCAATCTGTACGCTCTGTATGAAATAAACAGGGAGAAAAAAGCAGCCCTTGCCGAGTTTCTTGCCGGTTCTTCTCTGTACAAGGTCTCCCACCGTAGATTTACGAACCAACGGCGTAGCTCTCGACTTTTACAAGTGCTTGTAACAGCCTAGACTGAATAAATAATTATAATTTTGATTGAAGCTCTTTTAATTTGTTAGCCGTCTGTTGTGCAGTGTGTGGTCTAGCATTGTCGTGAAGTAGCAGTGGCGTAGTTAGCAGCTAGTTTTTCCAGTATGGTTTGCAATTGCTGACAATAGACGTCTGCAGTAATCGTCTGGCCAGATTTGAGAAAACTGTAATGAAAGACACCGACACTAGTCCACCAAACGCTTACAAGTAACTTTTTTGGGTCAATTTTCGCTTGGGGCAGGATTTGGCTGGCATGCCAGGGTCCAACCATTGCGATGAGCACTTCCGATTATCGGAGAGAATCCACTTTTCATCGCAAGTAATGATTCGATTTAAAAACCCTTCATTATTGTGCCGGCTAAGTAATGTAACGCAGCAGTCGAAGCGCGTTTGCCGGTTTGCTTCACTCAATTCGAAAGGTACTCACGTTTCAAGCTTTTTAATCTTTCCAATTTGCTTCAAATGGATTAAAACAGTTTTATCACATTTACCGAGGAGAAATTTGTGATTAAAATGGCCAGTATGACAAAACGCCAATTTCATGTGTAAGGACCTAATACAAGGATTAATAAAACAATTTAGCAATATCACTCTATATGTCACAGAGTACAACACTACAATACATCAACCATTAATTAAACAATGTTTTACATGTACAGATACAGATGTACAGATTATGTTATTAATATGCACAAAAATTTTTATTGTTTCACAGAGATTCCTTTGCACATATGCAATGACCATGTGTATGGATTTGTGCCAGTACCACTGGAAGACAGCGATGATCCAAAGAATGATAAAGAGCAACTATTGAATATCAAATTGGAGGCGATCAGTCGTCACACACCGATACCTCTAGACGATTCACTCGCTGACTTGGTAGAGTACCCCCAGAGGTGGAAATTTGGTTGCAGTGAAATATATCTGATCAATTTGGAGAGGAGACGTGAACGGCTGCACCTGATGGAGATGAGCTTCGAAGAACTGGGAATGGATGTGCATCTAGTGAAGGCATTTGATGGCAGGTACATTTCACTTATGTTCAGATCTCTTGTCCATTTTAATGTTACTAAGCTTGCAGGCTATGGCTTCTATTTCGATTTAGTTGAGGTTTGCTTCAATCAAAATGTGCTCAAAATTCAGTACTCTATGAAGAAATTCACTCAACATCCAATCTAGTGTTGAACTTATTTCTACCAAATCGAAGTCTATGTAGTTAGGGGCCGTCCATTAATCACGTGATGTTCGAAAGGGCTAGGGGAGGGGGTTCGTCAAAAATTACGAAATATCACAAGGCCTTCTAGTTTCACTTTGTAACGATAAGATAAGCCTGTATATCAATAATGGGCGCACAGGTCAGAACCATAGGGCGATATGCATAACGTATTTTTGCTACACTATAAAATGCCTATATCTTGTGGAAGAAAGCTCATTGGATTAAAATTATGATACGACTTGGTACTTGAACGTAGGCAAATCTCACCCAACTTTTGTTGTCCGACTGCAGTCTGTATGTATCACAATATTACAATTGTTTCTTAGCTGTATGTGTAATATTAAAAACTATTTTCAAAAAATTTTCAGAAATTTAGATATGAATAACCTCAGGAAACATTCCATAAATCTGATGCCCAATTATGAAGATCCTTATCATAAAAGGTGAGTGAATGTTGTAGTGCATATTTGGCAGTTGAGTTTTTAACAAATATTAATTTTAATTAAACTGAATATGGTATGTATTACTCTTAATTACAATATCAAGTCAGTTTCTAATTTATACTTTTAAAGAGTTTTTATAAAATTAGAATTGTGAAATTGGTTAAATTTCTTTTGTCAATGTAAATAACATTTTTTGTTAGATATTATTTATAATCAGTTCATTACTTAAATTACAAAAACTGAAAAAAATATGATGAGAGTAGTTTGAAATCCGCTTCCTTGAGACACATGTAAATACTGTGTCTTTTGACGATCAGTCAGCCCTTTGTCTGCTATTCAAAGTATTATGACGTTATAATTTAAAGAAAGGTCATTTTTGAGACACTGCAATAGTCAAGTTAAATGAAGATTAAAGTAAATGAATAAGCTTGTATATTTTCTATTATCGTAATGAAAAAAAAAAAACCTCCTAAGCAGGCTTGCAAATCAAAACCATAAACCATTAGTAAGACACACACTTCTTTTCACTTTTTAGAGTTAATAATTGTTTACAATGAGAAATCTAGACAAAATGACATACAAAATGAATTTTTAACGTAAATGACCAATAATTTTCATAAAATTACATTAAAGATAGAAGCATAAAAGTCTGTAAAGGTCCCAAGAAGGTGCAGTGTCGATAGAGCGATGTACTGTTACAATTTAAGACGATATTTACAGGCCCATGAAAGCTGGTGAGGTGGGCTGTTTCCTGAGCCACTACCATATATGGGAGGAGGTAAGATTTGTATTATTCATTTGGTTTAACGGTCATTAGATGGCGCTGATATTTTTAACCGACTTCAAAAAAGGAAGTTTCAGTTTGACCTGTATGTATGTATTATATATGTTTGTGCGCACGATTATCTTGAGTTTGGCTGAAACAATTCTGATGCGGATTTCAGCATAGTATTTGTCAGACTTAGAGGTTAGAACTTTGACACGATTTTGACGCGGTTTTCAGAAAAGTATTTTTGGTGTTACCTATTATATAAAAAATGTCAATATCACTAAAAAGCATGACATAAAAACTAAAAAAAAAATAGAACCAACTTAAAACTTTAAAAAGTGAAAAATAATACTTATCTCATGAGTGACTTATTCAAGAAATGCTATTGAAGTCGAGCGCCTGATTAATAATGCACAGAAAATCTCCGTCCGACTTCAATAGCATTTCTTGAATAAATCACTTTTGAGATGAGTATTATCTTTCACTTTTTTTAAGTTTTTTAAATCATATTCTCAGGAAAGACATATCCCCTTTCAATGGCTGATCAGTGAAAATATTAAAATTATTTCGTTTTTATATACTTTGTGCGATTATAGCGTTAAATCGATAATTTATTTATCTATGGATTTGGTTTGCATGAAAATTAATTGGAAATGCATTATTTTTCATTTTGTTTGTTCTAATTACTCGTGGCCCGTTCCCAAGATGGTGTCCCGCAACATTGGCACCGCGCTCGTGCTGGAGGACGATTGTCGCTTCGTGCCGTACTTCCGCCATCGGCTGCTGCAACTGTTGCACGAGCTGGAGGAACTGGACTGGGACCTTGTGTAAGCATAACATCTTTATATCATTACGTATTTATAGGGCAGATATTATAATACTGTTTTAAGAATAAGCTGTATATTAGATTGTATAAGACGCGTATTAACGGAAATGATTCCGTTAGTGTTGTGTGTGACGGTACCTGGAGAAAAACTGGACGGTAGAAGTGGATTCCACTTCAGAAGATGATACGTAGCATCGCAGAAATAGTAAGCCCGTGACCAAGGTCGAAACCTGGTCGAAACCTGGTCGAAACGTCGGGAAATATAGGTAGGTGAAGAACCTAACTATCGAAATTCTATCGCATTAATACCCGTCTTATAAAATCTAATATAATGCAACGGAAAAGTTTAAAAGTTTTTATAGAATAAGCCTTTACTTTTAGACGGGTTCTATCTATATATATGATATCTAAAAACATTGCGTACCAAAGTAAAAAAATAAATAAAAATAATTATGAACCTTCGTGCAAAACCTATGTAAGATTGTGTCTAAAATACATACAAATGGCTTCATTTTGAAATCAAATCAAATCATGAAATCAATCTCTTAGGCTGTCATACTCTCTCAGCGATTAAAGCCCGTTTTCACTAATCTAGAACAAGGCTTAACATAATAAGAAATAACTTAGTATTAAGAATAGCATAAGCACATTTGTTGTTTCACATAACCTGTAACTTTAGGTAATGCCTTACAAAGCATTTGCTTAGAAACAACGCTACGTTTGTCTATGATTTTGCATGCTTCAGTTTATTTATTTTATTTTATTAATTTAACAACGTTTCAACAGCAGTTTTGTTTTGCTCTTTTTTTTAATGTATGACCTATATCCGTTTACACTATACAGCCAATGTCACGTTAGTCGCCTTTACACGTAAAGACAAAATAACAAAAATATATTTTAGGGCATAACACGAGAAAAAAATAAACGTGGTCTTGTATTTACACCAGCACCCAAGTCGTTACTGTCTATATAGAAAAATCTCTTTGTTTAAATCTAAATTCCAATGTATAAACTCCTTGATTCCAACTCAATAAATTGATTTTATCCCTTGACTCATCCTTTATAAGAAGCCAAAGAGTAAATGTATCTGTCACATTAAGCAATTGCTTATTCTAACTTTAAGCGTTGCTTAATGTCGTTAGGCGGCTCCTTGTCATTGGTGAAACGCGTTTGACTTTTAAAAATGCCCAAATACCTAGGATTCAGATTTGGGCGACTTAGTTTAATGAAAACGGGCATGGGCCTTTAATAAAGATAAAAAAAAACAGTTTCCACATAGGAGCTAGTAGCTTACATGATATTTATTGTTTCAGATACATAGGACGTAAGATATTGTTGGACGACGAAGAGGAGCAGGTGTCCGAGCACACGCGTCGTCCACTGTACTCGTACTGGACCCTCGGCTACTTGTTGAGCAAGCGCGGCGCGGGCAAGTTACTAGCAGCTAAACCACTCGCACGATTACTGCCCGTCGACGAGTTTCTACCGATCATGTTCGATCAACATCCCAAGTGAGTGACGGCTTAATTATAGTTTATATATTTATTATTACAAAGTTGAAGAACCTAATAATTAAGACCATATTTAAAATACCCTCAATAATAAAACCATTTATTTGATTTTGGACCATGACTTAAGATTTAACCCAATAAGATATCTCTAGATAAGCCCATTTTATCGTTTGTTTGGTTTATCCTCTCAAAACATTATTAATCCTAATTCTATTCTATAGATGACCTCCGTGGCCGAGAAGTGGTTGTTTCAAATGTCCATATTATAAGTGCTATAATCTACTCAATGAGATGTCTGAGCAATGTATTATTTATTAATTATATTTAAAAATGATTTCTTTTTTTCAGTGCAACGTGGAAAGCACATTTCCCTAATCGTAACCTGATAGCTCTGTCAGCATCCCCGCTACTAGTACACCCGACACATTACACCGGACAGGATGGTTACGTGAGCGACACGGAGGACTCGCATATAGTACACCCGGACACTGCCCGGACTGAACTGTGAACCGGACACTGTTCGGTCAAAACTGTGAACCGGACACTGTTCGGTCAAAACTGTGAACCGGACACTGTTCGGTTAAACTGTGAACCGGACATTGTTCGGTCAAAACTAACCGGACACTGTTCGGTCAAAATGTGAACCGGACACTGTTCGGTCAAACTGTGAACCGGACACTGTTCGGTCAAAACTTTGAACCGGACACTGTTCGGTCAAAACTGTGAACAGGACACTGTTCGGTCAAAACTCTGAACCGGACACTGTTCGGTCATAACCGGACGCATGATATCCAACGCAAGTTTTGTTTAAAACCAGCGATATTAGAATATTACACATGAATTAAGTAATACATTGCTATATCATATAATGTGCCATAATATAAGTGAATATTTGCCATAATTTCTAAGCCAAATCTTTATTATAGTCATATCATAGTGTTAATTTACTTTAAATTTTATAATACGGATTTATTAAGTAATTGACTGGTATTTTTTATAATTTAACTTGACAATTATTTTAAACAGTGTGTTATAAAAATTGTCGCTAACATATGTGGCCACTAGTAAAATAAAAAAATATATTTTAATATAGTTATAATAACAAGAATAATATGCTTGTTCAAAAGACTTCTATGTTTACTACTAGATAAGTCCAATTTGTTCGGAAGAACAGAATATTATTATTATTTATTAGTTTTATGAGAATTTTTAGTTTACTTAGTTTGGAGGCCATCTTGAATTTAATATAAAATATTAACTGAATTACATATACCTACATCTATTGTAGTCAAAATTAAAAGTGTGTACCTATCATCAATATATCCTAGGATCAATTGATGAACTTTTTTATTACTAGATTTAACCTAGTCAAACTACATACAATCGTTTAACAAATTGTGCAAGTAACATTGTACTGTACGTAACATTTTAATGTGCATTTACTAGTATTAATTTTAACAATCTCAAATATATGTATTTAGAATGTCTCGTATGTCTCATATGCCATTTATTATGTTCCTAATGATAAATAAATTAATGTTTCAATTCAAATAGTATTTTATTTCGAAGCCATTTAGATTATGAAATCTCGGACATGTCAAATTGGATTAATTTTTTTTCAAAATTAATGAGTAAATGTAATAATCGTGGAAGTCCTAAAGATGTTTCGTCTGAAAAGTTTTATGACGCGGTGTTTGAGGAAACAGATAAGGGTTTGGATGACGTTGAGTTAATATTGAGAGAGCATTATGTGGTGTTACGGAGGTGCGTCAGTTGTGTGGATGGGTTGGCGACGAGGGTTCAGAGTAGTGTAAGCTGTTCTAGGCGTTGCGATGATGAGGAACGTGCAGTGATCGAATGCTACGGCTGCCATAGTCAACAACCTTTGAAGTGCGCTCGTCAAGTGTCAGCTTTAGTGGAGTGCGCTCGAAATATCGCGACCCAAAGCCGGAGACAGATAAAGGGTTCGCCAGATAAATTGGTAGATTGAATCGGAACATCGGAAGAAGTATTTTTTGGTGTAATGACTGAACAAATTATTTCAAATAAACATGTCCTTCAGAATTGTTTTTTATTCTAATTTACAAATATAGTAAACGCAAAAGTGAATGGTTTCATCGATAAACTGCTATTGTAGGCATATTGTAATATGGGACCTAGAGAACATTAGACATTTTTATCAAATATATTTCGTCGTCATGGTTAAAAAGTTATAATAATATTGATTTGTTATGATAAATTTCTATAGTAACCTCAGTAAGTAAGCATTACATGGTCATCTGTAATGTATTATCGTATTACATATTTTTCGTTTCAAATGAAATTCACATCGGCGAAATGTTAACAGAGCTAAGTAGTGATTAAATAGTCAAAGAAAAAAAATTACGTACTTATTATATGGGATATAATAAGTAAACAACTGTCAGTAATGTTGCATTTTAAATTTTGCTTTATTGATATTTATCATAAAGATAAATGGTAAAAAATACCTGGATGATTAGAACAGACGGCCGAATTACGTAAGGCTCCTAAAAATAGTGTATTTTTTAATCACCATTGTTGCTAATCTAACCTACTGCATGGGAAACATACAGTTTGTGCCATTTGCCCTCCACGCGGGCCCAATACGGATTCGTGACTTGCTGGTGAACGAAGATCGTGTAGTAGTAGTAGTAGTAGTAGAGTACTTAGTAATAATTTATCTTTTGTTACCCATATCTATGACTGATCTGCTATAGGTAGTATTGTGGCAGCCTCTTAACCATTTCATCACATAAGTGCTTGTGATACATATATTTTATGAGATAATGAGGTCACATGAATTTTTTATAATGAATAAATGAGAGATTAGGCAGACGGTATTCAGAATGCTTAAGAAGATTGTAATAAAATTACTATTTCCTTTACAAGGTTTATTGAACATCAAATATAAACCAAAAATTTGTCTTGCACATCTAACAAAACGTGAACATGAACCAGTCGGACTAGAGGATTCAATTACAGCTTTGAATCGGCGAGCATTTGGTACAGGAGTTCGATGACTGTGCGCGTCGGCCGACCGGTCATACCTCTTTGCAGATACGGGAAATCACAACCTTTGGTATACGCTACGTTGTAAGTGTCAAGGTGGAGCCAATCACTATCGCAAATGAACTGCTTCAGGAATGCCGCACAGTTCGGCGAATCTCCGTATTCGTGCCGAGCAGTATTCGCAACGTCGGCAGTTTGGCAGTCTCTCACTCGGTCCTCATAAAATTTCCACAAAGGCATGCGCCATATACGGTCACCGGTTTGTCCGCTAGCAGACTGCGCGTAGCAAAACAGCTCCTCGGAATTCGAATAGCCACCGCATGCTGCACCTCCTAATGTATCCACCAACTCTTTAGACATGGTCCCGATGTCGATGATGAATTTTGGCCAGTAGTTACGCGCATAGACTAAACTGTCTGCAATGAGCAGCCTGCCTTCTTTCGAAGGCAACCTAACGTGTATTGACTTGCCGTTTGTGCTGGAGACCACGTCGCCGAACTTCGGACTGCTGCCGTTGGGCATCACCTCGCACAAAGGAAGTATACCTCGGATGTTGACGGGCAACTTCAGCCTTGCCGCCGCCCGTGTTATAGCCAGTACGCAAGCAGCTCCCGCCATATCTCCGCGCATGTACCTCAGTTCCTCAGGAGGTTTTAAGGCTAAGCTACCACTGTCAAAAGTGACACCTTTTCCTATAAGAACGATCGGCCTGGTGCATTCTTTTGTGCCATAGTAACTGATCTCTACGTACAAAGGCGGTTGAACTGATGATTTTCCGATGGCAACGAAACCGCCCATTTCGTGACTCGCGGCCCAACCCTGCGTCATGACTTCCACGTTGATGTCCATTTCGCACAACAACTCCACCGCTATTTTTGCGAACGACGTGGGATTGAGTAAATTAGCCGGCATCTCTTGGAGATATCGTGCTAAATTCTGTGATTCCGCTTTCAACTTTCCTATTTTCCAACCTTGCACGTCGCAATCTTCGTACAGTTCGATTGTGGTAACGTTGGGTTGTTTCTTTAAGACGGGCGTTTTATATTCTCTGAATTGCCATATAGCCAGGGCGGCTCCTTCAGCGGAAGCCTCGGCGTCTCCGAATGATTCTAAATGTATACTACTGGGGTTTAATTTATGCAGTGCTTTTGCTCCGACACCGGCCGCCACACGTATCGCTTCCTTGCTCTCGTCGAGTTGTTCTATGCAGTTGAAGTTGAGACATTCGGTGCCGAGACCGGCAACCGCAACATATCCGTAATTAGGGTCGACATCATAGAAAACTCGACACTCTCCGAGTTTGGGAATGGGACTTAACTTTAAGAGTTTCCATAGTTTTCCATCAACTTTTTTATCATACCTTTGTGCTGTCGCCGTGAGGATAGCTGGTTCACCGGTAACATTTTCGTTATAATAGACTCCCAATACGAGCCCTTTATCGCGCAGGGCGCATGCTTTAGGATCGAAGACTTTGCGCGGGGGCACATACGGTACGCAATCAGATCGCGGTATTTTAAATTGTGATATTAGGCGAGCGCAAGTCGGGACAACGGTCACTGCTTTATTGTTGAACGTAAACATTACTAATATTTGGTAAAAAAATCAATTATCCAAAATTTTGTTGACTTATCGATGTGAAGTGTGAGACCGACTAGTTTTAGACAACTTCACTTTTTATTAGAACAAATTTTAGTGATACATTATAACACGTAGTTTACATTATTAAAACAGTTAATTCACATATTCACACAACATACATTGTTCACAACTGTCACACATCATGTCTTTTGGAAAGGTCAAGAAGCTTTTTTCTTGAGCCAGTTAGGGGTGTAACGCTGAACCCAGGTGGGGAACCTCGCCAGCAGGGTCTCCTGCACCTGGCGATATATGATCAGTACTAGAAACGGGATGGCGAGCCGTTCGTCCTTAAAGAAATACACCCAAAAAGCTAGTAAGAGCAGGCACATGTCCACAGTGTAGTCGATGGCTGAACGTACAGTCACCTTCGCCTGTTTCTCCAATTGTTGATAATCAATTGGTATTATAATGGTCGCTCTCTCTGCCTTTCTCAGAACCACTTGTTTAGTATATTTTTTATTCTGTTCTTGAGATTGATTTTGTGGTAATTTTATGTTTTTGTCAGTTTTCAATTTTTCAGTGCTCGACTGTGGTGTCAGTTTTGCATTGTTTGACTTTGACTTTATTTTATCATTACCTGTTGCCGTCTTAGCTTTTACTGCTTTAGCGTTAGGCGTATGTTTGTTTGGCGTCCTTGGTCTAGCAGGTACGATATTATTTTCAGTTGGTTTCTTTACTGCCAATCTCTTCGGTTTTGTTAGTTTTTTATTATCATTTTCTAATTCTTTAGTTTGTTGTTTTTCAGCAACACTTTTAAGTTCGTCCGTGTTGAGATACAATGGAGTGGCTGGTTTCTTATGACTACCATATTCCTTAACTATATTACCATAATAATCTATTACAGTTCTTCCTTCTTCACTAATTTTGTCCTGTACCTTTTCTACCTTTTTTGTTGGTTTTTGTGAGTTATTATTCGATAGTTGATCTTGCGTTTTCTCTGGTTCTTTTGCTTTGTTTAACAACTTCGGGAAAGGAAACGACTTTTGCACTGGCATCTTAGTAATTTTTTGGAATATCGTCATTTTTTCTTCTTTTTTCGGTTTTTCGTTTAATTTTATTTTTTCCTGTGCAACTGTTTTCTCGTCTTGTTTTATTACATCGACGATGGGTTTTAGGTCGATTGTGTCCGTTTCTCTTCGTTTTAAAATTGGTTTTGGTACGAAATTGGGGTCGGGCAACGGTAAGGGTTTGAGGACCTCTCTCTCGGATTCTTCCTCTTCCTCTTCAATGGTCTCCTTCAGAGGCGAAGGTCGAGCCATCTTATCGCGTGGGTTGTAAGTATTCTCTTCGTTTAAATAAGCGTCCCGATCAACATCGTCGTTAATGCTGCCATCATCCGAATAATCATCATCAGTGGAGACGGTGCTAGCCGTGTAGTCTTCATCGAAAGACATCTGCTGCCATTTGTTGTCCGTCGGTTCGTCCACAGAGGATTGTTTTGAGAGACCACTATTTTCAGTAGAGTCCTGTTTAATGACTATTTCCGGTAGTTTCTGCTCAGCTTTGTGTTCGTGTATGTCGGTGTGGGGAATGTCAGTGTTGTGTGCATTTTGTGCTTGCTCCATGGCGACTGCTTTATAGAAGCGAGCCATCGCGGCTTCGTGGAGTAGCTCGGTGGAGCTGACAGCATTGCGCAAAGCTCGGAATGGAAGTACGCAGCGTGCGCTCAACTCCGGCGCCGAGAGTGACAGTGGTGGAGGTGACAGTGCATCCTCCAATTCCAGTTGAAACGACTTCCTCTTTTCTGGAAAACACAATCCTTTATATCAAAAACAATTATAGAGATTATACAATAAAGATGAGAGTTTGATAGTTGATAAAGACGTTTATTATTTTCTACTGCATTTAAAATGGATAAACAAACAAGATCTTGGTTTGTTAATATTATTAATATCCATTTTATAAATATCAATATTATGGGTCGCTGATTAACAGATTCAAATCATCTGCGAGGAACTTAAATGGCTTGTTATTTTTTAAACAGTCGCTATTTATCTGTATTAGCTGTTGTTTTGGCTAAACATAAATAAATAAATATAAATGATACTTATTTGTCTAAGATAACAATGGAACTTTTTGCCGAATTTATATTGGTAGATTATTTCGATTTTGTTCATTCAAAATAATCTACTAATATAAATTCGAGTGCATTACTACCACAGACATTCGCAAATGCTACTGTCTATATTTAATACAAAATTTTAATTAAATACAACAATAATTTACCAATAATAGTACATATGAGAATTTCAATAACCATGCGGTGTTCATTTTACAATATATATAAAAAAGTCTTTTTAACATCTTTGTATTATTACTAAATCTACTTGCTGACAAAGAAATTTAAAATTTACATGAATCCACTGGACTTTTTTGTGTAAATTGTCCAACAGGCGGCGATGGCAAAAGAAGTCTCATATAGAGAAAAGGAAAGAGTATAACTAAACAGTACCTATCTGTGGTGGTAGTCGCACGGTGCCCATTTTAGTTTAAAGCACGTCTACAATTATATTCCACATAGGTTTTGTTACTAAATTTGGTCGAAATTATGAGCTTCTTTGTTAATCCCACAGATTAGGTGATTCCTACTGTGGGGTTATTACTTCTAGATATAACCTCCGTGGTTCTACGGAGTTGTATGGTCCATGTTTATATGGTCTTTTTTAGAGCCTTACATTGTTATCAAATCTACCCAAAAGAAATCTTCTTCCACAGTTTTGTGCACATTTATTTCATTATTATCTTCTCTATCTGATCACTTATTATCTCATTCAATTAATTTTTTCGTATTTGAATACGAAAAGTAATCAAAAACCGCCAAGCGGAGTTTTATTATCAATCTTTTAGTGCGACACTATGGCTGAAAGGCTGCTTTGTCAACTATTAACTACGTAACTGCCATACCTTTGTTCAACAATATAATATGATTATATTTTGGTTTAAGAACACGGTTGATGTAGCTTAGAAACGTTCGCTCTTATCGCACGTTGAGAATGACAATGTCACTAACCAAAACGACGTATTTTTTACTTTTGACAACATTTTTCTTTGTTAAGTATAAACTTTAAAATGCAAAGATCCCTGTGAACATAGCTTGCATAGAAACTGCTTGACGATACGTTGTTTAGAGGGGCCGCTTACAATTTCTTGAACTTAAAACGCTCATTACTCAAAATCGCATTTTTTGCATTGTGTCACTATCGTTCTCAACGTGCGTTATAGTTAAATAGATACAAGGAGCAGTTAATACGAGTTCCTAGAGCAGTATGTGGGTTAGGTCGGTCGTTTATTGTCTTGTTATAAGCGTTTTGTTGTCACCGCGGCTGTTCGTCACCACGTGTGTGGTATTTTTAGTATAGTTCGATGGTGGTTCAGCGTTCGGCACATTGCAAATGAATTGTAAAGTAGAAATCGTTCATTAGTTAGTTTTGATTTTATATAAAACAACTCTGAACGATTTCTGAATAGCATGCTTTTTATCCATAGAAAATGAATAGGTAAGCCTAGTATGCATACATTTTACAGCTACAAAGAGCCGCTTTTTTATAATTTATGTTCGATTAACGAATTCGTCTTATGATTTAGAGGACGATGAAATTTATCAAATACAAATAGATCAAGGCAATGTTGGTTATAATTAAATTATTTAGATCAAGATCAAACCCGAACGAGTCGTAAAATATTAAATCGAGGAGGTATAATTATGAAAAGAATATAAGTAATTAAAAATGAAACTCATAAGAATTATTAATTGGGCGAACTCGCATAGCACTAGTGTTTACATCACGTAGGAACTTATTTTTCATTCGCAATGATATTCTTAATTATTATAAGGAACACAATTTTTGAATAATTATTTTATCGTATATAGATATCATAGTTGAAATTCGCTTCATAACACCAAAAATTTAAACAAATATAAACATTAATTTTAGTTTTTGCCAATTCATTCGCTGTTGTAAATATATAAAAATTAAAGTAATTATCACACAATGGATGAGCTGAGCTTTACACAGCAGTAAAATTAAACTGTACATGGATAATGTTTGCTATAAGGCGTTAGGTTAACTTGTTGCAACGTTCGTCAGTGCATAAACAAACAGGATTTTCAGTGTGTTTGACGTTTAAGAAAATTTTAGTAATATAGTTTATTAAAATACTTAATCTCACCTGTTTTTTCGTTCGCCTTAGTATCTGGATAGAGCACGAGCATAAACTCGTTACTACCGGACTGGTCCTTGGCCGAAGGAATAGTAAGTGCCGGTGGTGCTGGTGACGCAGACCTAGCCCGCTGCGCTGGCGACGGAGAGGCCGGGGTGCTGCCCTGCCGCTTGCGGCGCGGCGCCGGGGAAACACGCCCTCCATCCCCATCCTCCTTCGTCAAAACCTGACTGATTATTTTCGATTCTACAGCCAGGAACTCCATATCCACAGCCCTCCCTGGTATCTTCACTGGAGCCGATTCGACGCTCGGCGAACTCATACCGTAAGGACTCTCCGCTTTAATCCGGAATCTGTATTCGCTGCCCTCGATCAAGTCGAACAATGTGACGGTAGTCTTGCGGCTCGTCGTCGCTTTCAGCCACACGTTCCACCCTCCGCGGTAGTACTCGATTATGTAGTTTCCGATGCGGCAACCGCCGTCATCTTCCGGTGGCTCCCATGTCAGAGTCACCGATTTATCCACCTGCCTGGTCACCGACACGCGCTGCGGCGGGTCTGGGGGTGCTGTGATTGTTACTAAGAACGCCGCCGTGTCTTCTCCGATATTGTTCTTCGCGTTGACCTGATACTCGCCCCTGTCGCTTCGCCGCGCCGAATGGATTTTCAATACGGAAAATTTGGGAGTGTTTGAGATTTCTACGCGTTCGTCGGTGACTATCGGCTGGCCATCGTGCCGCCATTCTACTGTCGGCGTCGGTTTTCCCACTATAGTGGTTTTTAAGAAGACCGTTTCGTTTATTTCGTAGAGTAGACCGTCCTCGTACTGGCGTGGGTAGCGGAGCTTCGGGGCCGCTTCGAGCGAAAGGCGGGCTCTGGAGACGGCGTGGCCGGCTCGGTTGGTGGCCGTGCACTTCACCTCGCCCTCGTCACTGGCCAGAGTCTGATGGAATACCAGTACACTCGACGTTTCGTCTGTAGTGATCGCCGTACGTCGGCTGCTGAAAATCTCATAGTCGTCCTTGAACCAGGCGATCGTTGGAGTCGGTATGCCGCTGAAGGTCACCCGGAATTCCGTCTTCTCGTTTTCGAGAATTGTGACGTCATTCAAATGTTGGAGAAAGATAGGTGGCTCATTGAGAGCACGTTCGAAGCTAACGGTGAGCACATCGGAGAGCTCGCTATATTCCGAACGGCCGACAGCGTTTAAAGCTGCTACACGGAACTGATATCGGTGCGGGGGTTCCAGGCCGGTCAGGACGAGTTCGGGACGCACTACGAGTGGCGGAGCGGTGCGCACCCAGTCCGCACCGCCCAACCTATTACACTCCACCTGGTAGCCTAGCAGGGGCGCACCTCCGTCGTGAGTTGACGGCGCCCATCGAAGTGTCACCGCATTTGGCTCGTCATCAGTTAGGATCGGTATCACATCTGGTTTTCCGGGCACCGCAGGCCGTCCTGGAACATACATCAACTTTCATGATTTTCTGTAGTTGCATCTAGCTAACCTGCCGGAGTGGCCGCTCTGTAATTTGGCATAAAACTCCTCACAGAATTAGAAGCGTGATTATCGTTACATGAACGCAAGCTCTGTTACGATTTGTTTTGTTGTGCCACGCTTTAGGAATCGAAGCGGGCGATGTTTTTAAAAATAGACGCGCCGTCGGGGGCCTCGCTGCGTCGCGACGGAGTGAAGGCGAAGGGAAGGGCGGGTGGGGGGTACTGGTCGCGAGGAGGATTACCTGCGGACTTCCAGTGCACGTTCTTCCGGGGCTTGAGGGCGGCATGCGAGGCGGAGTGGTGGTTGCCCATGGCGGCGGCGGCGCGCGCCGGCACACTGAAGACGGCTGCCGGCCCCTGCCCCGCGCCCCCCCGGCCCCCGCCGACCCGCTGGGAATAACTCGCGCCGGCGCACGCCCCGCACCGATCTTGATCCGCTTGATCGATAGGATTTCAATTATGATTTCCACCAAGACCTTTGGCACGCTCCTCGATGATTTATGTTTACGATCGACCCAGCCAATTATTGATGTTGACGGCTGTTTATTAAACGTACGACATTGACGTTCTTGCCTCCTCGCGCAATGGCAACAAAGCTGTGAGGTAATAATGGAGCCACGTAACACTCAGCTATAGTTGTGATTTGGGTTCATTGTATCCACCATTTATAAAAATAAATTCTTGGATACTGGGAATCACAGCGCCATCTATCAGTCATACTGCAAAGTAACAAAGCGATGAAGTATGTAGTAAATGTTTTCATTTCGGTCTTGCCTTCAGGATTGAATTTAGATCATGTGCTAATTCCGAGGTATTTAGTGCTTCAAAGTCATTGAAGATGGCGTTGTAGAAGCAAAAGATCACATACAAATACATATAAACTGTCTTTGCGGGTAAGTTCATCCGCAAATAACTCAAGTGGCCGAGTGTGTCGCCTTTTCTGAAGTCCCGGGTTGTATTCGATTCGGTCAATTTAAAGAAGCTGATCTTTATAGAGCATTTTTCTAGAAAGATACCAATTTAGCATTAGGTATGAATGCAAAATTAATGACATATAATTATATTTCATTAATTTTAAAACGATTTACTACTTGTACTTAACTACTTGTGACATAAGCAAAGAAATTGAAATATAATAATCTATAAAGTATAAAGTACGACATTAGTTAAATGTGTTTTTTCTGCATTTTGAGAAAGTTACTGGTGACGAATCACGATGGAAGCTAATTTTTATACACCTACTCTAGTAATTTGAAATTTTCTCGAACGAGATCCAATACAGCTACATATTTTGACTTCCTCAAAACAATTTTAATTAATATAACTGGCTTATGTAACATAATAACAAAAATTAAAACCAAGCGATTTTGGTGGGTAGAGTGCCAACTCTGAGATAGGATCTCGAATTCTATAAGAAGTTCTCTTTTACGATCCGCGTCAATATAGGCTTTAACTGTACATGGTTTTATTCTACTCCATCTGTACGATTTTTGTAAATTCGAGCGGAAGCGTAAATATAACATTATCTAATTCAAACATATCAGTATCTTATAAAAATTTAGTTTCTATTGCCGCTATAACAAATACCCATACATATAACAAACTTGATTTTTGCTCGTTTCCTCTTTGGTTGATTTTTTTTATTTAATCACAATATTGTGTATCATGCAAAATCGACATAAATTTTTGATATTTTAATAAAAATAGAAAGAGCAGCATATACATCTAAGTTGATAATTTTTTCATAAAACAAAGTCGTATTTACACTGACGTACTACAGTATACCGAATAACAAAAGCTGAATTTATGATACGAAACTATTCCATAAAAATACAGTTTAAAATCAGTTATATTAGAAGAAAATATCAATTAAGTAAAAGAACTGTCGTTGATAAATGGTTTCTTGAACTTTTTTTTAAATAACCTCGGTCCATTAAGCGACAATAAAAAAAAAAAATTGAAATTCGGTCAACAAATTAACAGAAATATCTGTGAACATACAAAAAAAATATGCATCGATGTCGAACATATAACTAAACATTTTCGATTTTAAAGTCGGTTCAAAATGAATAAGCCGTGACAATTTGACAATTAATTAAAATTACTTCCTACGAATATATACGCATATAATTACATACATAAATAATTTATATATACACATACATTCCTATTGTAGGATAAACTACATACAACAGGACAGAATAGCGTTTTGTTTATGATTCAAAACCACTCAGTGGTATTATTCAAAGACGATTCCCGCTAGCTAATTTTGACTGCAATAACATAAAGAATAGACAGACAGGAATAGAATCTAGTCTACTCCTATCAAAAACAACATGACAAAACATTGTGCAATAATTTAAGACATTAGGTTGGATACATTCTTTATTAGTAGGTATTAAATTGGGTCACGGAATAAGTTCGTAGCGTTTTTATCAAACACTTTTATTTAAACAAAAATCAATCAAAATAAATAAATTAGATATGTATGTACCTATTCGCCTATGCCGCTTCTACGCCTCAACCCATTGAGCGATTCCATTCAACTAATAATTATTCTGTCTGGTAAAGAAGAATTCGTCGAACCAATTTTTAAGATCGTCTAAATTGTCGACGGTAACGCCTCTGTTAAGGTTCGATAGAAAACGGAAAACATATTATCTACTATTTGAGCTCTTGGAGCCTTGGATATACTATTTTTCCGATCATGGCAGAAACTTGATAGTTCGCCCTTCGCCCCTTATATTATTTTATAAGGGTCTTTGGAAAATGTCGTCCCACCTCTAGATGGAATTAGGGAAATTCTGCTTATGTAAGCGGTATAGCGCTTTATATCATGCAGTTCTCATTACTAGATCACAAAATCATAATCTGTCACTATTGGTTTATAAGGAAGACATTGCACTTATTATATTGAATACTATTTTGATATATTGGTAAAATTCAAATAAGTAAAGTGCTTGAGACTGTTGAAATGTGATTATTACTTAGGTAAAAATTAGGAGAATTGAGGCCTATGTCTGGGAGTTGTGGAGTTTGATGAATAGTGCGACACAGGTTTTGGTATTGTCGTGAAGTATGGTAGGGGGTCTATTCAGTTGAGTAGCCTCTTACATGCGCTGCGACTGGGCCGTGTACCAGTCCTTGTTAACAGTGACATTTTTTCAAGCATTTCCCACCGTGCATCACCCAAGAAACAAATATAATTTATCAAACAGCAAAAACTGTTGTAAAATTAAATGAAAAAACGCTACACTATTATTACTTATTTTTAAACACCGGTGCGAAGGATTGTTTAACAAAATTTTAGATAATCCAAATGTTTTGTTTTGAGTAGTAGTTTTTGGAGCAGTTTTCGATAATAAAGAAGAATGGCGAAATCAGACCCCATAATTTACAAAACCGTACACGGATGGCAATATGACAAATAAATAATATATGATTAATAGATTTTATTTCTACAAAATGGTGAATTTTAAAGTCGGGGAACCAAACTAAAATATTAAATGCTGCTAATAATTATGAAGATAACGAAACGTCTGATGATAGTGCAAAAACAAAACGCGAAAATGTCAGAAGCCGAGTTTTCTAAACATGGTCTATAGAATATTATCTGTCGTCATTAACTGCTAATAATAAGTGAGATATGTGATTTACTGATGCGTACCGACTGAGCGAATGAACGTCAAATATATATTCAATATATAATATATTATATGAAATACGATCTTTGAATACTTTCATAAATATTTATTTTATTCGTTCAAATTACGAATTGAATACTTGAGAAATAAAAAAATTGAAAGCTAAGATACCACAACCGATTTAAGAAGATTATCGCCAGTTCTGCAGTTGATCCGATGAAAGGTTAACGTATTGATTATTTTGTTCTAAATAATCGATTGGTTGATTTTATTTTGACATGCTTGTTTAATTCATCTATGAATGTTCTATGATGATGATGGTGGAATGATAGCGGATGATTAGTTTGGTTTGTTTGTTGTGTGTTCGTTCGTGGAGTTTGATATTTATGTTAATATTCAACTTGACAATTAAGCATGTTTCTTTGACTAACGTTGATATTTGCATTACTCCGAATGGCAATCGATTCGGTTATATCAATGACATTTCAATGTGTACATTGCCCTTATTTGTCACTTTCAGTTGTAATGATTTAATTAAAGGCAAAGGGATCTACTCCATACAGTCTAGTCATATGTTATAAATGTTTCTTCTATTATAAGTGTCTGGATCTTGTTAGATATGTAACTATCTTAATCTAGTTTATTAAAGGGAGTAATCTGGTTACCATTTTTATTTATATTAACGGCCATTCAACGAAAAAGCAAAGATGCAATATATAACCCCACAAAGTATTTTATGCCATATCTTTTTAACCCCAACTTTTAAAAGAAAAAGACGATTAGAATTTTGTTACTTAAGTTTATACCTTCAAGTACACGTTTATTTCATTCATGAACGGGACTTCAAAAATTCAGGTCCAAAGCTATATGGGAGTTCGCCATTGTTCTTTTCATTACTGGTTTTTAATGCCTTAAAATTATCGATAAAGTATTACCACGCTCCAACACTAGTCTGGAGTGTAACGAATTCAGGTCAACACTCACTTTTAAAATAGAATTTGCAGTAGTTACAACACCATTGATACATAGATATACATACCAATATAACTTTGTTTATTTGCACCTCATTCGATATTAAATGAAATGAAAAAGCTTTCGCGCTAAATACAATGACAAGGTACGACATTGGTTCAGTGCCACTTATTTCTTATTACCATTTTTCAAATGATAACGGATAGTGATTACTCCATGAGCTGTAACTTAATTTCATTTCTACTTTCAGATTTATAGATCTTCCATCTAACATTTATAAATCGATCGGTAAATAAAGAATTCCACAAAATAATTGTCAGCTGTCCGTTTTAAAAAGAGCATATTTATGAGAAGAGATCGAAAGATGGTGATTATAAAGCGATTTTGTGACTTAATTGATAAATTTACATTATGAGTTTATCAATTATATATTTTTTATTTATGCCCTAGTTTGTTTGAGTGGTTCATTTAGTGAAAAAATGCTTAAAAAATCTACTTTGTCCCTGGTACTCTGAGATGGGACTCGAGCTCTGATATGGAAACCTTTCGCAATCTGGGCACTGCTCTAACCACTGAGCTACCCAAGACCAGGGACAAAGTGGATTTTAAAGCAATTTTCAATAAGAATATTTTTCAGTGTAGCATTGTGGATGTAAAATTGATGAAATATATTATTGTTTACTTAGTTTTCTTTTT